GAATCGTTACAGCGTAAATATTTTCGAAGTGATTTTACATACAAGAGTGTTACTTATTTTCCAGGTTGCATGAAACTTCGATTTCATGATTTAAACATTTTTTGGGATCTGAGCATGAAAAACCTTCCTCTTTTTCTCTGTCAATTGTCAAGTCAATAGGAAAAATATTTATAATTAAGAACAATGCTGATATTCATAGGAAAATAGATCAAAATGCGAGCGATATTCACACCGCTTCCTGCTAGGTTCTGAAACTTTTTCAGAAATCTCCGAGAAATTTTCAGAAAGTTATCAAGAAGTTGAAAATGTTCACACTAAAATGATTTTGGGTCTTCCGGGAAATTTTTCTGAAAGTATTTTTAGAGGTTGACAGAAATTTTATAGAGATTTTTTTTTTTGAAAATTTTTGCGGTTAACTTCCTAAGAGAGCTATCAAAAAGCTGAAAAAACCCGCTCTTCGATTCTTAAAAAACTTTTCAATTGTTTAAATGGTAAAAGCATCGCAATGAAAAGGAAAAAGAAGAAAGAAATCAATTGATGTTGAGGGCTGGAATGAAAATCTCATGAAGCCTCATAATGTAAAGTAAAAAATTTACGGCCAATCTGCTACTATAATATATGCTATTATAAAAATATGCTACTACATATATGCTACTATAATAATATGCTACTATAAAAATATGCTTTTTTTTTGTGAAATTGTTTATTCCCAAAATATCGTTTTTACAGCTTAGTATTGAACATATACAAAAAAATACTTTAAATTTTTAATATAAAGATTAGCCGGAATGGTCCTGGCGGACACTCGCCGACTGCCAATTTTGTTTATATGGTATCAACCATATAACTATCGTACCATCTTTTAGGGAACCTTTCTTTGGAACTTACAAGAAAGATTCTTGGGGGCCTTGATGAAATTTTTTTTTGAGTACTCTACGAAATATTCTTAGCAACCTTTTAGAAAACTTTTCGGAAATTTTCTATGAAAATTTCTGGAAAATCTTCTAAAAGGGTTTCATAATTTATCATAATGCTTCCCAAAAGCTTTCATCAATGCTTCCAGAATGATTTCAAGGAAACATCCCTGAAAGGTTGAGGCTATACTTTATGAAACTTCCCCTTCGAATCTTACGGAAACTTTCACGAAACTTTCTAGAATATTTTTTGAAAAAATTTCTTGTAAGCTTTCACAAAAATGTAGAAAAACGATTTTTCATATTTCATAACAGTTATTAAAGAAGTTATGAACTTCCAAGGTTTGATTTTAAAAATTATTATAGAACAAAAATGAGTGAATAACAATTTATCATATTTGAATCAATCCGCATTCCGCAGTTTGTAGAGAAATGAATTACAAATATTAAAATTTGATAAGTTTTTGTATTAATTTTAAAACTTTTTTTTTATAATTACAATAATTATTATTACACCGTGTATAGAAATCTGATTGTTTCACTTTTAAAAATTTCAACTATAGAGAAATATCATTGTCGTTATGTAGGACATTCCTGTTTTAATGACCTAGTAATTCAAAAATCATTAGTATTTATTTAAAATGAATCATTATTGTATCACTTACAAAGGCCACAGTTTTGAAGCTTATGTTCATACCCAAAATAGCTTTCCAACTGCAAGATCTCATCGTCCTCGCCATAACCATGATTAAATTTTTTCTGATTTTCGGCGTCCACTCGTACCATTCATTGGAGTAACTGTAAAAACAAGATCATCTTGTACTCACTTGCAGTGATGCACTGGTTCATATTTACCACGTCCATCGAATTTCTTCGCTTGTCTCGCTAACTAATTGACTCGGAAAACATCTAGCTATTAGAATGAACAAACATCCAAAGAAGCCGTTTGCTATTATCAAAGTATCCATAGAGAGCCCATTTTTCAGTTGAATTACCATCTACAGGAATGGTAGAGATACAATAAAGAAAATAAATTATAAACAAGTAGTACACAAGGATAGTGAGTCAAGGTAGAAAATTTATAAGTTATCAATTGTTTTTCAAATGAGCGAAGGGAAAAAGACTGACAAACTTGGATACCATAAATCCTAATACATTGAATGAAGCGAGAGTATTCATTAATGTGAACCGCATGAATGGGCGAATCAATTGATCGATGGCATTGAACAATCTGAAATTTTTTATATCTAATGAATTATTTTCGATTGAAGAGAAATATTTGAATGAAATTTGATGGTACGATATAATAACTCAACTCAATATATTTCGTGTGAGCTAAAATACTTTCAATCAACCTTCTTTCAATTTTTTCATTCAAATCAAATTTTGAACCACGATGCGTAAGAATTTTCAAGCTATATTTTTCATATTCAAACGTTCGCTAAAATAGTTAACTAATATCATTTTTTTCGAAAACGTAGATTCAATCAATAGTATAATATGATACGTGTGACTGAAGCAGGCCATTATTGCACGGCACGGTTAGCACCCGAGCGAAGGTCGGGTGCTAGTGCCGTGGTAAGAATGGGTTACTTGAGTCACATGTATCTTACGCTTTTTTATAACACTGTGCTAAATTCACGTTTAGGCCCCCTTTGGCGAGATATAAGGTGCTCATAATAGCGTCGCGGTGCAATAATGAGCAGCTTAAGTCACGACAAAGCGTGCCTTAAACATAAACTTTAGCCACGCAGTGCTATAATTCAATTTTACGTTTACTTTGTATATGTAAATCTGTTAATTATAAGTGAACTGCAAAATAAGTAAGCAGACAGCAAGGTTGCCATCATAGTTGTCATTATCAGCACACCAATCGTTTCCAATGCAAATATGTAACCATAGTAGTTGTCGTGGCTAAAAAAATACTTAGTATAGAGAAGCTGACCTTTAACGTTATCAACTAAATACATCCAAATGAACGGGCCGTACACAAACGACAGAAAAAGGACATAAATAAAACCTGAAAAAAAACGAGTTAAAGGGAGACATACACCAATTCACTCCTCTTTGTCATATTTGTGATATAAACCACAGTTTAATGTCAATCTACATTTTCAACATAAAATTGACATCTGTGAGCCATAAAAAATGAGGTTAGAGTTATTCAGGTGGGAGTTCCTGATAGGTATCAAAGTCTTCAGAAAAGTATCTTTTATGGGATGAATTTTGATTTAGACTTTCATATCAGTTCTATTATTCAATATGTGCTCAAAAAAATTAATAAATTTTTTTTATTTTTATATTTACTGGCAGCTGTTAATCTAAGTTGATAACTATTTTTAAAATTTTTGATAAATAATTTCTTTTCCATGATATTATCTTTCATTTTCCATTGATTATACATTATGTTTATACAGGTAGCCAGCTAAAATGAGTGAATTCGTTTTTAAGAAAATTCAAAAATATCGATTATTGCATTAAATATTTAAATAATACTTGTTTCTTATTAATGAAACATGATATTTCAGCAATAATAATAGCCAAATGTTATGTACCCGTTAACACGGGGTAATAACTTTATTGTTGTGTCTGAGTGGGGAGGGAACATGAAATAAAGTGTACAACGCTCGAGTGAGATTTACACACAAGACTTTATTACAAGAAAACTAATTACAATTAAACAAGCTTACAAAATAAGTGTGGCCGATGCTCGTCGACCTGTAGGGCTGCAAGCGCCGTCGGGACGTTACGGTCGTGGCTGTTGCTGGGCAACGAAATTTGGTTCCTTTGATAAAAAAATTTCTTCGTGAGTCCGAGCGATCTGATGAAATTTATCATTTAGCCACATATGATCGAACTTAAAATGAATAGATTCAAAAAATTAAATAACATTACAGACGCAAAAATAAGAATCAGTAGAACGATTTGCATCGAAATGCTTTCAACTAAATCCCGTGTATAGTTACTGTATGGCCAGAAAAAAAACTAGTTTGAACAGCACTTTTAACCAATAAGCATGTATCGAAAAAAACTCTCTGGTTGCCAAATAGAATCACCTACCCAGTGAATGAAAGGTATCAAAAAAGTTTGCTTAAATTTAGCTCAATTCAACGTTTTTAATAAATTGAAGGCTATTATTCAGATGGATTATAATAGTAAATGTCTTTCTCTACTGAATAGAATTTTTGCAGAATTTTTACTTTCAACTTTCATTAATAAAATAACATATAAGGGAAACGATACACCAATGAATGAAACATTTTTTACCAGTAAATGAAACCATTATAATTAATGATAATATATTCAGAAAGTTGTTAAAAACTATTGAAATATCAAGTATTAGTGCTCAATTATATTATAAAATTTCACTACCGATGAATTAGTTCATTATAATTAAATTATATTAATTTATAAATAAAGTTTCATTCACTGGTGCGTTTTCAATCACTGGGGAGGTGACTCTACTATTTTTATCCATTTTTTGATAATTTTCGTTTATTTTGCGATAATTCTTTAATTTCGTGAGACTCGCAGTTTATTGCTGCTTTGAAAGTTTACTTAAGTACTTTATACTTTCTCTAAATCTAATATCCATATATATTGATTGTAAACGTTCAAATGATTATAAACATATTATAAGATATCATGAATTTATTATACACGTGTTATTTAACTTTGTGGATTTTTTTTCCTTATATAATCATAAGGTAGTTGAAGTAATGTACATAATAAAAAAGTAAGTTGAATTGAAATTTCAACAATCATTACCATATCAATAATTTTTCTCCTTTTAGCAAAGAATGTAACCTAAATAATAAAAAGTTCATTGCTAACGAGTACAGTAATTTAATTAAAAAAATTATAGTTATATCAGTAATTTTCATTATACGGATGGATTAAAAAGTCCTTCTTTATTTATCCATAATACAAACAATGTCTTTAGAATTACATGGTTGTACAGTTTGAAAAAAAAACAACTAAGATTTTTAAGAAAAGAATTTTATAAATATGATTTAGAATTATACTTCATATTATTTTCATATAAAATGTATTTTTCAATTTGAAATAAGTATTTCTTTTGTTATTTCAACTCTGGATCGACAATAAAGCTGTTATATACGACATGGTTGTTTTTTCAACCTGTGGAATATTAAGTAAGCATTAATACGAATAATTTTGATGTACTTTGAAGTACTTACGAATGTAACAGTACTGAAATTGACCGGAACTCCGCGACAAGCCATCAGGCAACAAGGTCTCAAGGTTCGAACCATCATCAAAAAGAGTAGAGATTTGACTTTTGGTTTGAATTCATACCACGAACTGCAATAACTGTTTGAATTCCATAAAATTAATGTTGAATCAAAGTTTCATCAATTATTTTTAGCACAGGTGTTATATAAGATCTTACCATGCTAAACCAATATTTTCACTTGCATCTTTCATCAGTTGGCTAGGATAGCACACAAGCATAAGCATCATTTTACCTCCCAGAAAGGCCAAACACATTTTAAGAAAATTCATAAACATTTTTTTCTTCAATTCAACAATCATCTACGATAAAATTTATTTTTTAAAGTTATGTATTGTAAGTAAGAAATAAATTAATTTTTATCGATAAACAAAATTGTATGCGATTATGTAAAAGAATCATCTTTTAAAGTGGCCAAGTAATTTCTTAACCAAACACAAATTACTTCAAATTTATAAAAATCAAAATGAAAATTATGATATGCGATGATTTTTACTGTAAATCCTGAAAGACTCATGGACGATATTATTCCAATCGAAATCGTAAGAATGAATGGTGATGAAAATCGATTGTAGATCTGGACTAATCTGCAATAGAAAAAATGATTCAAAATGTTTTTGTTGGTTCAAAGTTTTTGTTCACTTTCAACTAAAATACAAATTTTATATTCTGCAATTCTTCTATAACTCAACTTTAAGCAATTTTTATGTTCGCAAATTCTCTCAATAACTTTTCTTGAAAGCAACAAATCATGTGAATAACAATTAGAATACAAGTGTTCTTGAGTTTGAGGTCGGTCTTGTAAAGTTTCAATTTCTTTACTGCAAAAACATTTTAATTTGTTATTGAAATTAAATTTGTTCTCTTATAAAAGTATATAGGGTACTTACACCAGTGATTGACCGCTTTCGACCAGTAAATGACCAATTTTGGATGTGCAGTAATTATCGCTTTTCCTTGTTAAATTATGATCGAACGTAGAAAACAAAATATTTTCATATGATATTTGCCAAAATGGTCATTCACTGGTACCTGGTCATTGATTGGTCTGACTACCCTACGTGGAAAAATTTTTCTAAACATACCTAATATGTTTGAATTTGTGAATAATATAATAGGTAAACATAACAAATGGCGCCATGCATGATGTGGCAATCAAACCTGCCTGTACCACACTTATTGTTCCATGAGTCAAATAGAAGAAAAGAAATTCATCTTGGTCGATAAAAAAGTCAGTCTTGAAAACTGCACTTTTTCCTGTTAGTACAACCATCATAGATGCTATAACCCCAACTCCTAAATAAGCACCAAGTACTACACCTACAATAAAAAAAATTGCCCGTAGTGCTCATATTTACCTCAATAAATAATAAATTATCACATAGACAAGTCAGTTTTTAAATTTTTACAATTTTTTGGTCGAAATTCAAGTTGCACCCCGACGAAAATTTTTCTCATGAGAAAGTTTTATAAAGTCTATAAAAGTCTTAAAAAGTCTTACAAATGTTCGGATTTCGTAACCTGATTAATGATTTTAAAGAGTTAAAAAGAGTTTTTAAAAATTCATAGAACCTTTTGGAGACTCAATTTTTTAGCTAAAATATTAAGTTTTTTTTTCATTTTTTTTTTATTTTTTTATATTGTTCATTAGACTGGAAGCAAAAAAAAAAAATTTTTTTATTTCGCCCGGACCAAACGGAAAAGTGATCTATGTACCAAAAAAATAGTCTGTGCAAAATTTTAGCTCATATAAATTGAGATAACCCGTGCCGCCAGTCGCTTGAAGGTTTTTAAATTCGATTTAAATTAATTTTTACCGCTTCTTTACAGCGATATTCAAATGGCTCTGTAGCCGTCAATTTTCAAGCAAATAAAACTTCGAACCCGTCAAATTAAAGGTCTTGAAAAGACCTTTAATTTGCTTTTTTCAAAATTTTGATTGCTTCAAAATTAACTGCTGTAGAGCCGTTTGAATATTGCTAAAAAATAGAAAAAAATCGAAATTTTTCTAGTTTTCTAATAGCTGAAGTTCACTCGGAGAAACACCAATTTTTCCTAAACTCCGGGGTATTCTTTCGTGTGTAATAAGCTAAAAAATGACGTAAGTTTCGACCAGAATATTGCATCCTAGCTCCGTATAGCGGCATTTTAAATATTCAATTTTTTCGTATTTTTTTTTCTTTCATCCGTCTAATGATTACACGCTTTTTATTATGAGAACATTCACAAAATACTGAAACATTTTCCAAATACTACTGATGATTAAAAGCATCTCAAGACCTATCTTTTAAGCCCCCTAACGAGCTTATAGGTGTCTCGGAGTTAAATCTACAGCCAAATTAAGAATATAATCATTAACGAAGTTGAAAAATAGAATCGCGATTTCAAGCTTAACTATACTAAAGTGTCCTTTAATCCCCAAAAAAATTTGAAAACAACATTTTCGACGTATTTTTCGACGAGAAAACCAATGGTGACCTTGGATTTGACCTTGAACATAACCTCTAAGCTACAGCGAACCAAAATTGATTTTTCGTTTGGTGACCCCCATTTTTTATTGCAGATTTGAAAAGAGCGGAAAATTTTACGTTCAAATACATCTTTAGTTTTATTTCGGGTCATTTTATTCCATTCCTTATGTGAGATTATTCTAGGTTATGTAAGGTCTTTTAGCTTACAACATCGCCCTTAAGTGACCATGAAGATATACTTCCATAACCTAAAAAAAAAACCAAAGATGTATTTGAACGTAAAATTTTCCGCTCTTTTCAAATCTGCAATAAAAAATGGGGGTCACCAAACGAAAAATCAATTTTGGTTCGCTGTAGCTTAGAGGTTATGTTCAAGGTCAAATCCAAGGTCACCATTGGTTTTCTCGTCGAAAAATACGTCGAAAATGTTGTTTTCAAATTTTTTTGGGGATTAAAGGACACTTTAGTATAGTTAAGCTTGAAATCGCGATTCTATTTTTCAACTTCGTTAATGATTATATTCTTAATTTGGCTGTAGATTTAACTCCGAGACACCTATAAGCTCGTTAGGGGGCTTAAAAGATAGGTCTTGAGATGCTTTTAATCATCAGTAGTATTTGGAAAATGTTTCAGTATTTTGTGAATGTTCTCATAATAAAAAGCGTGTAATCATTAGACGGATGAAAGAAAAAAAAATACGAAAAAATTGAATATTTAAAATGCCGCTATACGGAGCTAGGATGCAATATTCTGGTCGAAACTTACGTCATTTTTTAGCTCATTACACGCGAAAGAATACCCCGGAGTTTAGGAAAAATTGGTGTTTCTCCGAGTGAACTTCAGCTATTAGAAAACTAGAAAAATTTCGATTTTTTTCCATTTTTTAGCAATATTCAAACGGCTCTACAGCAGTTAATTTTGAAGCAATCAAAATTTTGAAAAAAACAAATTAAAGGTCTTTTCAAGACCTTTAATTTGACGGGTTCGAAGTTTTATTTGCTTGAAAATTGACGGCTACAGAGCCATTTGAATATCGCTGTAAAGAAGCGGTAAAAATTAATTTAAATCGAATTTAAAAACCTTCAAGCGACTGGCGGCACGGGTTATCTCAATTTATATGAGCTAAAATTTTGCACAGACTATTTTTTTGGTATATAGATCACTTTTCCGTTTGGTCCGGGCGAAATAAAAAAAATTTTTTTTTTTTGCTTCCAGTCTATTGTTCATATGGTTGCTCGTACAGTTTTCCCACCGTGACTTTTGACGAGCGTGGATACCGATCAAAAAAGTCTTTAAAAATATTTTAAAATTTTATCAACACTTATTAACTCTTAATAACTCTTTATAACAATTATTGTCACTTGTAAACATTTTTTAAAATTAAATAAGCGATTCCTTCTGAATAATTGGAAAACAAAATATCAGGTCTCAAATAAATTTTTAAAATTTATTTATATCATTTAAAACTCTTATAAAGTTTGATTAACTCTTAAATTTCATGGTACAAAATCCGAACATTTATAAGAATTTTCAAGACTTATTCAGACTTTTAAAGTGTTTTTCAGAGTTTTTAAGAGTTTTTAAGAATTAGAGTGGTGCAAGTTGAATATCGACTTAGAAACAGATTATTAATGATTAGTTTTCATAAAAAAATTTTAATAAATCTCTTTATAAAATTTTACTTACATCCAAGCACCACACCAATTTGGTGTCCTTTCTGCATGGTTTCAAGCGTCTTCATTTTTTTGTTCGAGTCTTTTAAATGATCATATTCGAAAAATAAACTCTTAACCAGAACACGAACCTATAAAAAAGAACATTATGAATTTCGTTAAAATCTAATTTTCAAGACACGTACTTTCTTTTCCATTAATATACACATCAGATATGCAAAAAATGTGCACGACAAAACTGCTAATTGAAATAGAGTCTCAGTTAAATCTTCTAGATCTAAAGTTTTTCTTCTTCTTATTAAATATATAACCTGAAAAAGAAACTGATTATTAAAATTGATTCTTGACGTGCTGAAAAGTATTATAAATGAAAAAATCGAGATAATAACAGAAGCTTTCAATGTTATAGATGCATTGATGATGAAAAATATTCTTCCTATATATTTCAATTTTTTGTTCTGAAACGGCCATATAAAAGTTGCTTTCATCATTTTTACTATTAGGGAAAAATTTTTTTCATAAAACTCAATAATTTCTGAATTATTATCGCTTAAAAATATTCTCGTCATTATTGCATAATTTTTTTATTTTTAATCATTCCCAAAGTTTATGAATAATCAATGGAGTTGAATGTAAAATACATCATTCAACAACTATAAATGAGTTTAAATAAATAATAAAGTTTGATAAATTTGTTTAACATAAAAAGACATGATATTAAACCTTATTAGTTTTCATAAAAAGGAATGCAAAGTACATTTTACGAAACTTTAATATGATGAACTTGAGTTTTACAAAAAATAAAGCTATTTGCGGTAAACATAACATTCAATCATAAGTTTGTTTTATTTATTCATATAAGCGTCATCTTTTATTCGAAAATCAAGGTTTCCGGGTATACATTACCGATTTTCTTTTCATGAAAATATACATGACCATAAAATCGACGTTCACCATCGAACTTTTTTTTCATTTCTTAGCTGACATACACTCTGATGCTGAAAATAAATGTTATATACAAAAACGTGTATTTTCTAAGCTCTTAATAAATAAGTGGCTGAGAGCTAGAATTCATAATTCGACATGAAAAAATAATAGTTCTCGTGCGTTGTTTATTTTTTCTTTCGCTTTAGTTTTCGTACACTATACACACACACGAGGAAGAAATGCAAACGCGCTTCGATGTGTAGGCGTGCGCAAGCGAAGCGAAGGCATAAGGAACAAGATTGAAAAAGAGAGTATGGTATAGCTATAAGTAGTTGCCTGCGCGAACGAAAAAGTTTTCCACTTTGACTCCGCTCTCCGGGTGGCGCGGGGGATGAGGCAAAGGGACACGAATGAGAAAAAAACAGGTATATAATAGACGCGCGCGCGCTCATGTAAACCTACTATGTGCGCGAGCGGCAAACAAAATGGACAAATAAAGCGTACGTTTTCTTGATTTTACGTCCGATGTATATATAGGATATTCCTATACGCGCCTCGATACCGACTCAATCTTCTCTTCTCGCAGCATCCCCGATATAGTTTTCCGTTCTATCTCCGCTCGCGCCCTACGTTCGCTTGTTTTCGAAAGTACTTTGCATCGGGCGCGATCGCGCCATTGCGCTCCTTTTCTCTTTTTTTTTCTGCGCTTTCCTTTCGGTACTACTTACACTCGTATATGTACAGCACACATATCTCTTTCATCGAGGCAGTTAAACTTTGTTCGATCGGTTTTGGCGTTATATTTGTACATGGTCCTATACGCAAGAAAATACGCATTATAAACTTTTGCCTCGCGTTGTTTCTTTATATTTGTATTTTTTTGTAGGTCGAGTACGCAGACTTAAATACGAGAATCTCGAAATTTAATACAGGTAGCTCAAACGCGTTTTCGCGCTCGGAGCTCGTCACGATAGCTGCTGCTGCTGCATGCTGAGCACAACGAGAGGCATGTAGTAGGGATAAATAAGAGAGAGTGAGTCCGGCGTCGCAGGTTCGTGAATCGTGTGTGTATACGCGTATATTATTATAAACTCGCGGTATTCAGGTTAACGCGCGCTACTTTTGCGCGTCGTGCGTGGTGAATTTCATACGCGCATCGTCATAATAATATCGACGCGCACGTGATTATGACGCTTGTAATACAGTAAACAGAATCGCGTTGTGCGCGGCGCGACATCGCGAGTGCTGTCTCTGCCGCTGCGTTTGGGGCCAATAAAGAAATACAAATAAATATATTACGTAAGCATAATAAAAAATTTGGAGAGTCGGAAAGTACACGCCAGCCGCACGCGATTTCGTCGATCTCGTGCCCGACGATGTATTGTACCTACGAAGATTTGCGCCACGACGAGGCCTGCGTCGGAGTGACCAACGCGGCCAATAAATCTCGTCTCTGGCTCTACAGCTTATCTGCCGATTGCGACGCGGTACGTATATCTTTTCCTTTTCTGTTCTTTCTTTTTTCGACGTGCTCCACGCGATCGTGTACTTGAACTCGATCGAATTAACCGATAAAACAATATAATGCGATATCTCGAGCTCGAGACGCGTTTGCTTTATCATATTATAATTTTGCGATTGTTAAATATCATAGTGCCCTTACACGCGAGTGACCCCGATAAGTACCGGAGGAGGAGCGAATCTGACCGTGGACACGTCGAGATGGCAGACTTGGAGAATCGTCGACGTCGGCGACGACGAAGCCAACGAGCATCTGCCGGCTGCGCATCAAAAGTACGTAGCAATTCCTTTCTCCATTTTTATGTATTTCGTTTCAGGCACACCGTATATAGTCGCAGCAGATGCTCGCGAGATAAAGTAAAAAAGGAACGAAGAAGGATAAAATGTTTTTCTCGTTTCTCTCGCACATAGGGTCGTTTACTGTGAGCTGACGCCCGACTTAGGTCAATACGGCATTTACGAGCTGAAAATTAATAACGCCAACGAGTGCGACCTCCTCGAGCTACGACAGCCGGTTAATCCTTACACGAGTGAGTATAAACGCTGCTGCCCTCAGCTCTCATATGTGTCGGGGTGCGCAATAATAGTACGTCTCTCTCTCTTTTTTAATAGCCCTAGCCGTTACTGCCGCAGCAGTCGTCGTCCTTTTATCCTTACTGTCGATATTAAAAAACATCTCGGCTTGTATAAGAAAACATCGTGCCAAGAGGAATGGCGGTAACGACGAGGACGAGGAGTCGAGGGTCGTGCTGCAACCCAAGCGCAGAATTAGATCGATCGACACGATTCGCGGGTATTATAATTAAAAATTATTATATATTCCACGAAGAAAGATCTTGAATTCACCTCGTGTTTGTTCTTGCGAATTGCACCAACTGGCGCAGCATGAGCATACTCACGATGATCTTCGTGAACAACGGCGCGGGCGGCTACGTGTGGCTGGAGCACGCGACCTGGAACGGCCTCGCAGCCGGAGATTTAGTGTTTCCATGCTTCATGTGGATCATGGGTGTGTGCATACCCTTATCCATCTCGTCCCAGCTATCTCCCGGGAGGGCCAACGACGGCAGCGGCAGCAACAACAAACGCCGCTACTCGGTTTGCTTGGCGATCGTCAAGGTGATTCAAGCCCTCTAGCTTCTCTGTATATACACACACGCATGCACGTACGTACGTATAACGTACATACATAGTCTCGAGCCAAGAGTGCAACCATGCGTCTTTCTCCCTTGCTACGAGCTAGCTAGCTCTAGAGAAGCGAAAAGATCTCCTCTCTTTGTTTTCCTTTTTAAAACCGTCCTTCCTTCCGCATGCAGACAGACACAGCAGACACACGCGCACTACTAGTACACACACATCGTCGAGCGTAAGATTTATTTTTCCAAGAGACCGAGTGGAATTACAGAAAAACGCTTCCTTTCTTTCTTTATTTTTATTTCTTTTTTTTTGTTTCTTTCTCGTTTTCTCGAATACATACACCGCACCCACGCACCACCACCGATGACGAGAGCAGAGAAGCTTGTATTTGTTTTTCATCGGCCTCTCGCTGAACACGCTCGGTGGTCAGACGCAATTGGAGAACATCAGAATTTTCGGGGTGCTGCAGCGCTTCGCAGTCGCCTATCTGTTCGTCGGCATAATCTACGCCCTGATGTACCGCAAGGATTCCAAGGTACGACTCGAACGATAACTCGAATTTTCGCTCCTACCTTTGAAAACGACTTAGAATCTTTCAGGTCGATTGTTCGGAGACGTGCTGATACTTCTGCCTCAATGGTTCGTCGCTTTGGCTGTGCTCGCGGCTCACTGCGCCATCACTTTTCTCCTCCAAGTACCGGGCTGCCCCAAGTACGTCAACATGTTTGCTCCGCTGTAATCAAATACGCAATCGAATTTATACGAATTAATCAATTATCGTTACACTTAAACGCAGAGGATATCTCGGTCCGGGTGGCTACCACGAGGAGGGCAAATACTTCGAGTGCGCCGGAGGCGCCACCGGTTACATCGACAAGCTTCTGCTCGGCCGGAGCCACGTCTATCAACATCCGACGATCGATCGGGTCTACGAGTCCGGCCCCTTCGATCCGGAGGGTATCCTCGGTAATGTACACATAAACACCTCTCGACGTTCAAAAAAGCTTAGTACAATAAGTAAACTTTACTCATCGCACAGGCTGCCTCACCTCGATATTCCAAGTCTTTCTCGGCGTGCAATCCGGCCAAATTTTACGCGAGCATAAAAGTTCGAAAGCTCGGGTGTCGAGGTGGTTATCGTGGGCCTGCATACTCGGGGTTGTAGGCGCCGCTCTGCACTACACCGATGTCGTTCCTGTTAATAAAAATTTATGGTTCGTACTTATATATTATATATTATATATTGTATGCACACCTACACGCAGAGACAGTTGGGTTGTAAAAGAGAAAGAAAAAAATTGTTCTTTTCCTCATCTTTTCATCCCTTGTCGTATCGTAAAGAGAAGACGAAGAAGGGGGCAAAAAATACACACAAATTCTGCTGTCTCTTTTATAATGAAAAAAAATGTGGGTTGAGGAAGAAAAATTTTTTTTTTCTCCTTCCTCCCTTCGTGTTCAAGAGGAGAGTAGAAGGGCTCTGAGTAGATAAGTATACGATCGGGCGCAAGGAAAAAGATGTATGTGTGTGTTTGTGTTTGTTGGCAGGTCTATATCCTTCGCACTCGTCACGACGTCATTTTCTCTGGTCTTACTGTCGATAAGCTACTTACTCGTCGACGCGGCGGCTTTATGGAACGGCGGCCCGTTTCGTATTCCAGGTACAGCACTGCTCTTCACGTGGCATCTATATCCTATCACGAGCGAGAGATCTATATTTCCATCAATTTCATCTCGATGTATATTTATTGATTTCTCCCTCTCTCTTTTCCTCCTGGGCAATTGCTAGGTATGAACGCCTTGGTGATGTACTGCGGTCATCAAGTTTTCTACGCCATGTTCCCGTTTCATTGGCAATACGGCAGGATGGAAAGTCATCACGGCTGGCTGCTCGCCGAGTCCCTGTGGTGCTGCTCCCTCTGGATCTGTATCGCTTACCTCATGCACCGTCGTAAAATCTACGTCACTCTGTAAAGGAAGAAACAACAACATTTTCGCAAATAAATCTTGATTCTCAACGATTGCCATTACACTTGCGTATCTATCTATCTATATAACATAGAAGCTGCTGCTGGCGCTTCTCGCGCGACTGTGTGCCGATCTAATTATGCGATTCCTCGTTAAAAGCAAGGAAGTGTTGATTGCCCTAGCGCCCCGCCGTAGTAGAGTAAGAGAGTAAACACAAAAGGAGAGAGAGCGTAGTCGGTAATAAGTAAAAATGGCTCGTCTCGCGCCATCGCGGCCGTCTTGATTCGGTGTATAAATAGCAGAACTTCTGTTGGGGCAGAGTCTCCTGATAATGAAATAAGCTCGCGCCTTGGGGAGGCGATTACCTACCCCCCGACTTGGCATTGTCGTAATTTTTCTCTCTTTCTGTCGCGCCGTGAGATAACAACCGGCTCATGGATGCTTAAGCCAGTATATATACTACGCATTTGTATAATACACACATTCGCACAATGCGCTGCCATTGGACTCTCGCGCGCGACGAGCTGCTTTTGCAAACACATCGTCGTGCTATATATATATTCCGCTGTCGTTTTTGTTGCTATGCACAGAAAATACAGAGGCAGAGTCGCAAAGGCAGCAGCAGCAGCTAGTAGTAGCTGAACAAGAGAGCAACGCGCGAGGAGAGAAAGAGAGAGAGAGAGCGACGCAAAACTCTCGGCCGAGCACTTTCGTTAATTAAATGCCGCGCGTTGTTCGGTTCAGCTCACTCTCTCTCTCTCTCTCTCTCTCTCTGTCTCACTCACCCCAGAAGCAGCAGAAGCAGCAGCAGCTTTGTACGAAAGGAGTAGTATAGTGCGGGGGTAGCTGCTTTGCTTTTTAATCGAGTTATCGTTTTAAGCTGGGGCCAGCCCGAGCACAAAGCTCCTGACTCTCCTAGAGAGTCTAGCTCTTTCTTCCTTGCTACCTCCACTCCACCTCTCCTCGTGCTGCGCCTGCAACCCACCCCGCGAGTTGTGTAATGTGTGCTGCTGTAGTGCACGGTGCACAGTGCAGTTTCTTTATAGAGCATAAAAGCCCAGTGCATTGTATGTAGTACCACCACCGCCACCAGCACCACGTCTCAGAGAGCTTAAAGAGCCATTGCGTGAACATATCGCAAGCTCTATGCAGCAGCGGCGGCGGCGGCGCGCTAATTAGGACCAATTATTCGCCCTCGCGACTGGGGCAGGCAGCAGCAGCAGCAGCAGCAGCACCTAAAAGTTTGGCCTCGGCATATACTACTACTAGTACTACTAGTGCCATGCAGCATAACAGCAACCAAAATTACTCTTGTTTTGTTCGCAGCTGCCAGGCTGGTCTTGTGTAGGCGCGCGCGCGCGCGACGTCGTTGGCGTAGTTCGAGTTAGCGGACTCAAATGCCTCTCTCTCTCTCTCTCTCTTCTCGTACAAACGACATTAGCCTCATTTTTTATTTTATATTTTTAAAGTAGACGGCGTTTAATTCGCATGTAAATTCATTTTTTTAACACCAGTGCCTCACAAGCACGTACATCGTAATTATGTATAGTATTATAAGTAGCAAAGTTTTTTCATCGTCCAGTCGACTCGCTACACACTCACACACACACGGTAGTATTACATTTTATACGCGTATACACCCGCGACTCGTCGTAATACAGTCTTATTTAACGAGGGATGATCAAACGTTATCGCGCGCCCACTCGTTTCTCATTAGCACTAAAAAAAAGCCGAAGCAAAGCTGCAAAGCAAAGCAAAAAATAAAAGCAGCAGCAAGAGAGCCATGGCCGCCTCGTCGACACTAATAGTCGCTGACGGAGTGGCTCTTCCGTTACTTAATTTTTCTCTCGTCATATGAGCGCCCACCAGCGAGAGCTGAGCGATGTATATAATAATATATATCGTCGGTGTGCCACCCAAGAGCCAAGATTTATATAACAGCTTTGTGTAGCTGCCTGCCGGCACGCGCTCGCGAGCTTGCAAAGAAGAAATCCGATAATCTTGTCCTGCACGCGCCACCTCGCTCATCCCCCCGCCTGGTTAATATAGCGATCTCCTTTTTTTTTCGACATCAAACCGAGCCGCGCCGCAACACCTTTATGTAATACGTCTGCATTAAAACATGGTAAATTTACTTTAGCCCCGATGATACTCGGTGTACGGCGTTGGTGGTGGTGATACCCTGCCCGTGGAAAATAACTAGAGTATTACACCTAGTTCGTTTTAATCACGTTACGTTATATGCGTCGTCGTCGTTGTAGTGTATAGCGTCGCGCGTACGGTAATATTTCGTAATGTACTTGTGTGCCCCTGTGTGTGTGTGTGTGTGTGTGTGTGCTCGTGCCTGCCTGCGTAATATACTTAATGGATTTTGGCGTTGTTGTGGCCCTTCGACTCCCGCCCTCCCTTCCCTTCATTTTATGAATATAATAGATCGTTATTAGAAACTATCAAAGTCCGCATAGCAGCGCCTTGTTTTCCAACGAAACGCCCTGATTTAAAGGCGAAGGTCCTCGAGAGTCGAGTCGACGCGCGCCAAGTTACACAAAGTCTCGAAGCGAAAATAGATTAAATCTACAATCGTATATAGTCCGGCGCTCGTGCCTATTATCGCGTCGCGCGCTGAATAAACGCTATCGCGCCACGGCGTTGTTTGTGCGCGCGATGACTCGAATGTTTTTTCAAGTATAAATACTTGGAGTTCTCTTCGATCGCTCCGATGGATTAAATGCCAAAACGATTTATTTAATGGATCGACGATGATAACAAAATGTTCATGTTTATGAATTGCCAATGCGACTTTCTGGGAAGTACATAAGCTTCTCTGGGCCGCGGCGCTCTCATCGGCCCGGGGGCTTACCGATCTCTGCGCTACACTACTCGCGCTGCTGCTTCTGACAGAGCCCCTGAAGGTGTTAACTATTCTTGTAATCTCTCCTGAGGTTCCTGGGTATAATCCAAATCTCTCCTGCGCTGCATTGTGTGGTGAAAATAGAGGGTGAAAAAGTATAAGTACTAGACTCTCGTCTACTCGCGAACAGATAACTGTTGGTAATTCGTTTACCAATCGATGAATCAAATTTTATCCTCCTTCTTCAAGAATGGTATAATTAGAAAGAATCTATGTAAAACGATAATGAATCTTCGAGGTTTTCTTTGTATTAAAATCGAGTTATATACCATTGATAAAACTTGTGAAAAAAAGCTACTTCCCGAACCATTTCGCGTTAATCCATTCATCCGATTATAAAATGCCAATCGTGAATATGTGCAGCTGCGACGACGACGACGACGACGACGACGACGACGACGACGATGGCACCGTACTACGCTTTGATGCACTCACGGTTGTTATTCCACAGGGGCGCCAGCCGCAACTTTTGTGTGTCGTCGCGGCTTCATAATAATGCTCTAGCTCTCTCTTATAAAACCCCCCACACATTTCCGGCTCGTGAAATTCAATTAATTGCTCGGAAATGTTTTCTATACGATCCGCCGCCGCCGCCAAGCTCGCGTCTTAATATAATTGAACGATAAATAGTCGCTGCTGCTGCTGCTCACAGCTCTCGAAATCGCATTTCGAGCAGCAGCAACGATAAGAATACAATGGAGAAGAAGGACGACGACGACTCTGTATGTGGAGGGAGATGGGAAGGCAGCGTTTAATGCAATCTTCTCGGAACTATCTGCGCAGAAGATTGTCGTCGACGATCGTAGTGCTTTCTTGTGCGAGCGACGGCTCGTGCGGGAGTCTTGCTTGCTTGTGAGCGAGCTTGCAAGCTAGGGGGAGGAGCAGGAGATAGAAAGGCAAAAAGCGCTGATTGCTGCAGTTTAAATTTCTCTTATACTTACTTAACTTTGCGAGTAGAGAGAGAGAGAGAGAGGTGATATGTATCTATATCAGTCATGGGAAAGAACGAGAGATAGATAGATAGATAGAGAGAGGAGAGAGAGAAATGGGGGAAATCTGAAAAATCAGCGAAGCAGTCAAAATAGGAACGACTCGGGTGCTTATAAGACGAATAAGAGAGATCGTCTCGTGACGTGCGCAAGTCTGGCAGAGCACTGGAGAGAGAGAGAGAGAGACGAAATAAGGAGAAATTTTCATCGTCAAAAGCTGGTGCTGCAGTAACAGTGACGCGTGCAGCAGCAGCAGCACAACGACGACTATATTATAAACGTGTATACGTATTTAAATCGCTGATGCAGCAAATGAAATTCGCTGTGAGCTCCACTCGGCGTGGAGGAAGAGGCTTATATGCACGAGCTGGGCGCTTTTCTTTCGCTCGCTTTGTTAATAAGGCAAAATTTCCAAATCTCGACAAACTGATTGTGCTAGATTTTTCATTTTCTTCGTGTACGAGAATGTTACGCGACGCGGTGGAGGCACGTAGCTAGTATAAGCTAACTGTTAGCTAGCTCTAAGCATGATGGCAAAAAAAACTAATGGAAAAATTGCAGCAAAAGGCCAAGGACCTCCGAACCAAAATAGAGGAGGAGAGAGAAGCTTGTAATTCTCACTGCAATCTTGAGCAAGAAAGATCGATCGATCTCTCACTCTCTCGCGAGCGGTGCACAGACTGTATGTAAGGTACTAATCAGTGAAATGAACGTCAAGATTGAGTGCTTTTCTCTCTCTCTCTCTTGCAAGCTCGGAGCTTGCAGCAGCAGCGGCAGCCATCCAGACCATGTAATATATAGAGCAAGATTGAGCTCTGGGTGAGCGGGTGGAGAGAGTGAGAGAGAGCCCAAAGAAAGAATGACGAGTGGAGAAGAGAGAGAGAGAGAGAGAGAAATTCAATCCTACGCGAGATTCCTATGTGACTAATGAACGAATTCATTGGCTTATATATGCTGATTCGCGATTTGAATTCTTCCGCACCGGTCCCCTCATCGCAAAGCTTCTCTGGATCTGAAAATAATTCGATCAATCTTGATTTTTTTTATCGCGCTTTCATTACTAAGCGCCGCTATATTGTTTACTAAAAAAAGGAAAGGCTTAACTCAACCCTG